GATAAGTGGATGTTAAATCTAAAACATAAGGTAATATGACAAAGTTAACAAGACCTGAGAAACAAAGGACCTCCACTCATCTGGTCGAATCACTACTAAATAACCCCATGCTGCTGAACACATATATGGTATATATGTGGACACCAGAGGGAAACTAGGAGGAGGACACAGAACTAGAATGAATCAGGGAAAAACATAAAACAGTGAGACCCATCAGCTGCTCTGGGCATTGATCAAACAAACTAAGCAACTCGATGGCAGCGATGGGAGAGAGGGAACAGCTGACGCTATGCAAAAGGAAAGGAATGGGGACTGGGAAGGTGTCTCAGTGGTAAAGTGCTTGCCTTGCATGCATGAGGCCCTGGGTTCGATTCCTTAGCTCCACATAAGCAGAAAAAGCCAGAAGTGGTGCTGTGGCTCAAGTAGTAGAGCACTAGCCTTGAGCTGAAGAGCTGAGGGACAGTATTCAGACTCAGAGTTCAGGCCCCATGACTCACACACACACACACACACACACACACACACACACACACACACACAAAGGAAAGGAATGTACATATCACTGGATGTGGAAGAAATAACTGTATTGTCAAAGCTCATAGAACCCACAAATTTTGTAGACCACAATAGACAATTTGCCCCATGAAAGTTAGAATGTGTTTGTGACTTTAACTAAGCACCACTATCCCACAATACTGTGAAATTATGTAATCACTTAATCACAATAAAGAATTTGCAAAAAAGAAAAGGAAAATGAATTGTACAACTTGTGAGTAGAGATGGAAGGGAAAAACTGGGAAAGAATGAGGAAAGGAGTGACATTGTCCAAAAAGAAATGTACTCTCTACCTGACCTACATAATTGTAACCCTTCAGTACATCACCTTTAAATAATAAAAAAAAAATTAAAGAAGGTGCTCTGAGACTATGCAGACAGCCTATCCTCTCCAATTTTTCAGTTTATTCATTTACTTACTAATCTACTTATTCATATAATATCCATTCTATTTAATGGATTTTAAACCATCTTTATCCCGACGATTTTTTACACCTTTTAACAGGCCCTGGCTTTCATTGTCCACACTGAAGAAAAACTAGAGTGGATAAATGCCCATTCCAACTCAGTTAGTTGCACAGTTTATTTTCAATCTAATAGTTAGGCAAAGACCAGATCACAAGAATAGCACACACTAATTATATGACCAGATTTTAAAGGGCTTGACAGGACCTTCTGAACAGACATATCAGTATTGAGAATAATGATGACCATTTAAAACAAATACATATCTTATGAATCAGTAACTCAAAACCAATTCTTATGTGTGTGTGTGTGTGTCAGAGAGAGAGAGAGAGAGATTATGTGTGTGCACTAGAACTAAGACTTGAACTCAGGGCCTTAAGCTCTCATTTGGCTTTTTCCACTCAAAGTTGCCATTCTACAACCTGAACAACAGCTCCACTTTCAGCTTTTTCCTGGTTAATTGGAGATAAGGGTCTCACAAATGTTCCTGACTGGGCTGGTTTGAACTGTGATCCTCAGACCTCGTCTTCTGAGTAGCTAGGATTACAGATGTGAGCCACTGGCACCCCACTCAAAACCAGTTCTTTAGAGGTGATATGTCACAGTGCAAGTCCCAAGACAAATTGAACAGGTGATATAAGGTATAGGTTTCAAAGAGGCTCTATGAGTAAATAGAAAGATGAGTCTACAGGATAAAGAAGACCAATATTAGCCCTGAAATGAACAGATTCTTACTTTCTATTTTTTTTTTGTCAGTTGTGGGGTTTGAACTCTGGGATGGGTGCTGAATCTCAGTTTTTCAGCTCAAGGCAAGCACTCTATCACTTGAGCCACAGTACCATCTTCTATCTTCAAATATGTCTTACGTAAAACTCTGGTTGCCAATTTTTTATAGAAGTCAAATGAATGCAAAGTGTATTATTCTCCCAAATGCGGAAAAGTATACTGTTTCAATTCCCAGCTGTTGTTGTAGCTTTTTGATGGCTTTAAACAGATGATTTATATATTTCATCCAATTTTTCTTGTTTCTTTTGTTGGAGTTTTGTGTGTGGTACTCTGTTTTTCTAGGAATGAAGCAAGTCTGGCAGAGAGTCTGGCATCAGTGTCCTCTGGGGCACTAGCCAGATGTTGGTATCATTTACTATACTGGCTTACAGACAGACATGTTTGCAAACTCATTTCTTTCCCTCCGTGAAGGCTCCATCTGGTGGCAAAGAAACAGCAAATGTAACATAATCAGGGAAATGCAAAGTGAGAGCAACATAAAATGTATTTTATGAGCAAGAAAAGGAACACCTACCTCAATCTAGAACTGCACTGTCCAGCGTAATAGCCAGTAATAACACATGGCCATTATATTTGAACTTAGTTTTAGTTTAGTGGTACTAGGGCTTGAAAATGCAGGGCCTCAAGCTTAATAGGCAAACACTCTACCAGCCCTTATTTTCATATTGGGTCTCTCACTTTTGGCCAGAACCAACTTTGGATCACAATCCTTCTATCTTCACTTCCTGAGAAACTGGGGTTACAGACATGTACCATCACACCAAGTGACAGACCTTTTTTTTTTTACTAGGTCATTCATCACTCATAAAACAATAAGGGGCTGGAAAGGTGGCTCAGTGGTAGAGCGCTTGCCTTGCATGCCTGAGGCCCTGGGTTCGATTCCTCAGCACCACATAAGCAAAAAGAAAAAAGCCAGAAGTGGCGCTGTGGCTCAAATGGTACAGCACTAGCTTTGAGCTGAAGAGCTGAGGGACAGTGCCCAGAGTTCAGGCCCAGAGTTCAGGCTCCACGACTGGACCCCAAAAAATAAAAAAATAAAATAAAATAAAACAATAAGACTGCTGCATAAACCCTCATGTTTTAAACTCTTTAGAGGGCTCTACAACTTGAGTCATGCCCCTAGTCCACCTATTTAACTTAGACTAAAATTAAAAGTTTGGCTAGATGTGGTAGCTCATATCTATAGGAGGCTGAGACAAGAGCATCACAAGTCCAAGACAGCCTGGGCTACATAGCAAGACCCTCTCTCAAAAAAAAAGTTCTGTTTTAATCATATTAATAATGGCTACCTTATAGGAAAATACAGATACAGAATCTTTTGCTACTAGAAAAAGTTTGTGTTGGGACAGTGCTTCAATTCTAGAAAAGTCAGAGATGGCTTTTTGATGGATGAGTTGTCTCTTTGTAAATGCATAGGATGTGAGCAAACAAAAAATAGATGAGCTGGGCACCATTGGCTCATGCCTGTAATCCTATCTGCTCAAGAGGAAAGCCAGCCATGACAGGGAAGTCCATTGATACTCTTAATTCCAACTAACTACCCAAAGTCAGATGTAGAGCTGTGGCTCAAGTGGTAGAGTGCTAGCTCTGAGCAAAAAAAAAAACAAAAACAAAAACTCAGCAACAGTGACTAGATCCTTAGTTCAAGTCTGGCACAAAAAGAAAAAGAGAAAGAGAGAGGAATATTATTCTAAAAGGAGAAAATGAACATGACAAAGAATAATAAGAAATGAATCTAGAAATTCAGGCAGGAACAGCTCATTCAGGCTTATGTGCCATGTAAATGAGCTTTCCCTTATGTAGGAGGGCCCCCAAATTAACTCTCAGTTCAATTCAGCATGCACAGAAAATGCAAGCTTCTTTTAATTATGACTTACGTAACATCCCAGTGGCAGGGAAAATGCTGTCAGAACAGCATCCATCAATCATTCTCAAAGTTGTCAGAGAATGAAAGGGATGAGGTCCTGCTAATGAGGGACTAGTCCTGAAAAGAAGGTGGGGGAAACCCACCTGAATACCAAGGCCTCTGAGGTCTGTTCTCCAAGAGAATGGAGGAGCCATAGCCATGAAAAGGCTGAGGTGAGCCAGGAGGAAGCCAACACGGCCCCTTTCACCTCCTCCAGGAGTGGTCCTTGGATGGAGACAATTAAGGGCTACAGAAGAGATAATTTGGAAAACTAGAATAACTTTTAGTTAAGGCCAGGAGGGGGAGCAGGAGGCTGAAAATCACAGGAGCTGTGGAGGAGTTGACTAACAATGGAATAAACTTGGCAGTGGTAGTAGGAAGGGAGTAGGAGGACCCAGAGCCACGAAAGCACAGAAGAGAAAGACAGGAGAGATATAGAGAGGATGAGGGAGAAGTGAACTAGAGGCAAAGAAGGTAGATTTCACTTTTGTGGTAGTAAAAGCCTCTCAAAGGAAAACCAGATGAAAGGGTCTAACAAGGCTAGGATTCAAATGAAGCTAGTGAGGCTCTTGACCAGGTGTAAAATTTAAGAGGGTGCTCAAAAATTCATTACTTGAATATTTTAGTGCAAATTTTATTTTTAAAAAAATCCATGAGGAGGCACATTTCAAAATGCTAAATACAAGTAAGGTGCCAATGGCTTACATCTATAATCCTGGCTATTCAGGAGGCTGAGATCTAGAGATAGTGGTTCAAAGCTTGCCCAGGCAGAAAAGTCCCCATGAGACTCTTATCTCCATTTAATTGTTCAAAAACCAGAAGTAAGCCAAGCGCCAGTGGCTCATGCCTATAATCCTAGCCACTCAGGAGGCTGAGATCTGAGGATCACAGTTCAAAGCCAGTGAGGCAGGAAAGTCATGAGACTCTTATCTCCAATTAACCACCAGAAAACAGAGTGGTGCTGTGGCTCCAGGGGTAGAGTGCTTGCCTTGAGCTGAAGAGCTCACAGACTGCCCCCAGGGCCAGAGTTCAAGCTCCATGACCCACAAAAACCAAACAAACAGAATTGGTACTGTGGCTCAAAGTGGTAGAGCACTAGCTTTGAGCAAAAGAGCTCAGGGATGGTGCCCAGGCTCTGAGTTCAAGCCCCATGACTGACAAAAAGTTCAAGCTGTTTGTGTTACAATCCTCAATCACTGTGCAATAGTAGCATAATTTTCAATCAGTCCTGTAGTTCCTATACCCAGTTTATCAAGTCCCCAACTGGGTAAGTTTATGAGAGTTGATGATGGTACGCAAACTGACTAATCAAGACAGGATGTTATATATAGTCAAGTTTGGGGACTGTTCACATATGGTAGGAAAACTGATTTAAGACTGTTCCAACTTGGGGGGGGGAATTGGGTTGGGGGGGGAGGCTGGGAAGGGATGGGAAGGGTAAACAAAGGAGGAGGCTACTTGATAAGAAATGTACTCATTATCTTGCCCATGTAATTGTAACCCCTCTGTACAGTATTTTCACAATAAAAAATTTTAAAAAAGACTGTTCCAACTTGTACAGTGCACTCCAGGTGCTGGGCCTTTGAGGGTAAAATTCTGCTGGCTGAAGAATGCCCAGAAAGATTGATGGTGTGGCAGGCTGAATGCTACCTGCCTCCAGAATACCTATCCTGAAGCACTTACAAAAAGCTTGCCACATGCAAGCTTCCGTATCCAAATGCCATCATATTAGAGATCAGAAGATCAGCAAGCACATCAATGTTTTTCTGTGTCAGTCCTGGGTTTGAATGCAAGGCCTAATTGCTGTCCCTGAGCTTTTGTGCACAAGGCTAATGTTCTATCTACTTCTTGGTACTTCTAGTGATTAATTAGAGATAAGACTCTCATGGATTTTCCTGCCAAGGTTGGCTTCAAACTGCAACACTCACATCTCAGCCTCCTGAGCAGCTAGGACTACAGGTGTGAGTCACCAACACCCAGCCCAGCATATCAATTTTAAGGGAACAAAAATATTCAGTCTATAATGCAAACCTATTGTATTGAAACACAAAGTCAATTACTGCTTGCTATGAAACACACTACCAATTACTATTGGTGTAATAATATGTATTAAATAAGATCTAGATCTAATAACTGCTATAATCTGAAAGCAAAGACAAAGAAATGATATTTTGAGATATCTGTAACTACTATAATAGAAATGAAAACATCTGTGATTTCTGCTGAGAAAATCTCAATTGTGCTAGTTGTCTTATTCATAATTGAAGAAAATACAAAATGTCATTTAGAAACTAACTAAATGGGGCTTGTGAACCCCCATTACCAATTACAGACCATATTGCCACATCTCTTCCTTTTAGAAATTCAGTGTCAGAGATGTGAGCCTAGAGGTAACACCCAGTCCCCCTACTCTCAGAGAGGGCACAGCATATCAGAGGAAACTCAGTGGTAGAGCAGATTTTGAAGACTTGACAACATCATTTTATTTAGAACTAAGAGTGAGTCAAGTTGATGGGAAGTCAGTTACTTCTTTCTTCATTCCCTAAAAGATCTACATTTGCTGTCATCAGAAACTTCTATGTAGCCAGGCACTGGTGGCTCATGCCCATAATCCTAGCTACTCAGGAGGTTGAGAACCAAGGGTTACAGTTCAAAGCCAGCCTGGGCAGGAAAGTCCATGACTCTTTTCTCCATTTATCCACCAGAAAACTGGAAGTGGCACTGTGTCTCAAAGTAGTAGAGCACTAGCCTTGAGCGAAAAAGCTCAGGAACAGTAACCAGGCCCTGTCCCTGAGTTTAAGCAGAAAGAGAAAGAAATAGGAAAGGAAAGGAAAGAAATGGGGAAAGGAAAGGAATGGGGAAAGGAAAGGAGAAAGGGAAAGGAAAGGAGGAAAGGAAGAGGCATGAGGGAGGGACAGAGGGAAAGAGGGGGGAAGACAAGAAAAGAAAAGAAAAACAAGGAAAGAAAGTTCTATGTGTTAAGGCCACCACTGAGTCACATTTTGCATCTCTATACTTGAGTTTCCTGATCTGTAAAATGAGACTGGCAACTGCATTTAGCATTTAGCACAGAGGATTGTGAGAACCACTTAAAATCATACATTGAAAGCTCTTATTACAGCCTTTAACATGTTGTGTAAGATCAATAAATTATCCTATTATATTACTTCATGTTTTAATCCTCAGGCTCTGTTAGCAGCAACTTAAAAGATGTTTCCACCTCCTTCAAGGTACATACTTTTGACAAATTTTCTAACTGTCCCACCTTGCTGCCTCATGAAAGAGGTTGAAAGAGACCCCAAGATTTAGATAACAGGTGAAGTATTTGGTGGGAGCAAAAGACACCAAGTAGAAGTCTTTTCTGTCTCCCATCACATCTCAATCCCTGTCCAGGACAAGGTGTATCATTTGTGCACAAATGAAAATATGAAACTTATTTACTAGAAATTCCAAGATAGCAAAGGCAGAGCATTAAAAACAAGTTAGGCCCACATAGCCCTGAAACTAGCACCGTTCCTGCCTGACCTGCTGGTGTCTCATTCCTCACCCAGTGCCTCTGTTAGTGAAATGAGTCCCTTCCCATAGCTTAGTCCACTCCTTCCCTACTCCACAGCTTAGCATGCTCCCTTAATAGGCAACACCAGGCCCATGTAGTAAAGGCAGTAAATAATCAGCCTCCAGCCCCCTTTACCTTGGGATGACACTTCTCTGGGGCAGCTACCACCATATAAGGCAGCAAGAGCCCCTTAGAGTGACCTTCATGTCTGGGCAGCTGCAGGACCCTTATCTACCACTTGGATGGCAGCCAAAAATCCTAGTCCACCATGATGAAGCCCTTAGCTCACACGTCCATACCAGGGTCTCCGCCTCCTAGCCCCTTCTAGTCCCTCCTAAACCTCCTAGGTGATATAGGTCACCCCAGACAATAGCCAGTGCTTCTTCTTATTCCTCCCTTGTGAGAAGGGGTCTTGCCGGCCCCCTTTCCCTGGCAATAAACCTTTCTTTGTTCTCTGTACCTGGATGTCTGCATGGTTCTCTGGCAAAGTCTAATTAATCTTAATTTGCTACCAGCCTCTGTCCCCAAAACACTTCCTCCTGACCCTATCAGGGTAGCCATTAGGGCCATGGACTCCCAGACTATTTCCATTGCAAAGGACCCCAGACAACAACCCCTTCATTTTGTGTATCAGGAAACCAAGAGTTTGGTTGAGGAACAACTACAGGGCATGCTAGGTTGAACCAGGGTTTTCTGCCCACCACATTGGGTTCTTCCCACTAACTTACCTCCTTGCCTGCTCCTTTCACAATGAGACAATGGGTTTTCTAATTAAACTACAGAAATGAGTAAGGGGAAAAAGAAGATGGAGGCAGAGAGATTAATAAGGGCCTGAAATGACAAGCAGACTAAAGTATTGATACCATTTTCCCTTAAGGGGGCATTTCTAAGCCTGTACTCCATAAGGAAATAGTCTGAAACATAAAGACATGTACTCAGTAATACATAACAGAAAGCCAGTGAGGGCTTGGATGTAGTCAGTGGTAGAACACTTGTCCAGAGTTATATAGTGTAGATGTTCTCTGGCAAAAATTGAGGGGGAGATATATACATAGTTAGCTCTTGTAAAAGTTTGATTAGTCATGTGTTATCAGGAAGCCTTTTTAGAAGTTTCTACATGAGTCAACTGGTTTTGCCAAGTACAGATATATAGTGTTAACAATAGTTAATAAGGCAAAGTTGCTGGACGCTGGTGATTCATGCCTGTATCCTACCTACTCAGGAGGCTGAGATCTGAGGATCATGGTTCAAATCCAGCCTAGGCAGGAAAGTCTGTGAGACTCTTATCTCCAATTAACCACCAGAAAACTAGAAGTGGTGCTGTGGCTCAAGTGGTAGAGTCCTAGCCTTGAACTGAATCACAAAGCCCAGGCCCAGAGTTCAAGTTCCACAACCGACAAAAAATAAAAAATAAAAAACTAAGGCAGCCAGGTGCCAGTGGCTAATGCCTGTAAACCTAGCTACTCAGGAGGCTGAGATCTGAGGATCACAGTTCAAAGCCAGCCCAAGTAGGAAAGTCCATGAGCCTCTTATCTCTACTAAACTACTCAGAAAACCGGAAGTGGTGCTGTGGCTCAAGTGGTAGAGCACTAGCCTTGAGCTGAAGAGCTGAGGGACAGCGCCCAGGCCCAGAGTTCAAGCCCCATGACCGACAAAAAAAAAAGAAAAAAACACTAAGTGGCCAATAGTGGAGGACTGAAGGTGTATTATAATGCCTAATTAATGGTGAAGATCTGTGTCAAGGAAAGATATGCATTCTATGCTTTTTTAAGTGAAAAGAAAACTGATTACAAAACACTAAAATAGAAAGGTAATTTGTGTCTAACAAATTGAAATACTATATTAGAAGGGTCAAATGGTCTAGATTCAAACTCCAACTACTAGCTCGGTGACCTTTAGCAAGTTTCTTATCTTTCCTGAACTTTATTTATAAAACTGAAATACTATTACTACCTCACCAGATAGTTGCGAACATTACATGAAGTATTACAGGTAAAACCCCAACAATACTGTTGTATATATAAGCTCTCAGCAGCTGTTATATACCCTTATCATGTATGATTCCATTTTTTTGGTGGCTCCAGAGTTTTAACTCACATCCTCCTATTTGCTAGACACAGGCTCTACCACTTGATACATACCCCAAACCTTTTCCATTATTTATTTAGCTACGAAGTCTCCCTATATAGCCCATGCTGGCCTCAAACGCAGAATCCTTCTGTCTCTGATGGTGCCAGGATTATAGTTGGCATATATCAGATATTTCAAAAACATTCCATATGTGGTCACATGCATTTTCTAGAAAGACATAAATCAAACTGTTATAATATCCAGATATGAGATCTCCGAGATAATATTTTAAATGTACTTTGTCTTGTTTTTCCTTTTTTGGTACTGGGGATTGAACCCAGGACGTTGCACTTGCTAGGCAAGTGCTTTGCCACTGAGCTACATCCCAGCCCTGAGATAATATTTTAATCACGTTCTTAATATCTGGAAGGAAATCCTTAAAGTAGTCCTCTATATTATTTACCAAGAACTATAACTATGATTTAAGTATCATGTTTCTAAGAAAAAGTTTTATTCAGAACTATGTAATAATAAAAAATATATAATTATCTTAAAAGTCTAAAGTACCTGGGCACTGGTGGCTCACACCTGTAATCCTAGCTACTCAGGAGGCTGAGATCTGAAGATCACATTTCAAAGCCAGCTGGGGCAGTAAAGTCCATGAAACTCTTATCTACAAATAACCACCAGAAAACCAGAAGTACCAGAGCACTAACCTTGAGCAAAAGAGCTCAGAGCTAGTGTCCAGGCCCTGATGTCAAGCCCCATGACTAATTATATATATATGAAGTATATCTCTGCAGTAGTTTTCCTTTTATAAAAACAGTTGATTCCACTGGGCATCAGTAGTTCATGCCTATAATCCTAACTACTCAGGAGGCAGAGATCTAAGGATCTGCAAGTCCCTGAAACTCTTGTATCTCCAAGCCCCTGAGTTCAAGTTCTGGGACCAGCACCAAAAAAAAAAATCCCATTTCTAATCTCAGTAGGGTTTTTTATTTGTTTTTTTTGTTTGTTTGTTGTTGCTGCTGCTGCTGTTTTGCCAGTCCTGGGGCTTTAATTCAGGGCCTAGGCACTGTCCCTGAGCCTCTTTGTACTCAAGGCTAGCACTCTGCCACTTGAGCCAGAGTACCACTTCCAGCTTTTTCCAAGTAATTTATTGGAGATAAGAGTCTCACAGAGTTTCCTGTCCACTCTGGCTTCGAACAGTGATCTTCAGATCTCCGCCATGGGGCTGGGAAGGTGGCTCAGTGGTAGAGCACTTGCCTTGCATGCTCGAGGCCCTGGGTTCAATTCCTCAGCACCACATGAGCAGAAAGAAAAAAGCCGGAAGTGGCGTTGTGGCTCAAGTGGTAGAGTGCTAGCCTTGTGCTGAAGAGCTGAGGGACAGCGCCCAGGCCCAGAGTTCAGGCCCCACGACCGGACCAAAAATAAAAAAAAGACTTACCAATCCTAATAGGGCTGAGAAGGTGGCTCAGTGGTAGAGCGCTTGCCTTGCATGCTCAAGGCCCTGGGTTCGATTCCTCAGCACCACATAAGCAGAAAGAAAAAAGCCGGAAGTAGCGCTGTGGCTCAAGTGGTAGAGCACTAGCCTTGAGCTGAAGAGCTGAGGGACAGCACCCAGGCCCAGAGTTCAGGACCCAAAAAAAAAACAAAACAGATCTCCGCCTCTTGAGTAACTAGGATTACAGGCATGAGCCACCAGCACCCACCTCAGTAGTTATTAATTTTAATTTTTTTATTGTGAAGATACTGCACAGAGGGGTTACAGTTACATGAGTAAGGTAATGAGTACATTTCCTATAGAGCATTGATACCCCCTCCACACTTCCCTGACTCCTCCCTTGCACCACCTCCTCCCAACCACGTTGTAAAGTTGGTTTTCAACAAAGTGTCTTGTATGTCTCATTATTAGAGAACTCTTAGTACAGGCCTTTCCTCCCCAGCCCAATCCCACTCCAGGAGCGCAGCCCTGCTAGATTCTACCCTAGTCCCTCGGGGTACTCCCTCCCAACCCTCTAAAAATAGTGTAAGATAGGATCTTCCTGTTTGACTCCTACTTCCTTTTTCTGAGCACAAAAACCCAGACCACTACCAATTTGAGAAACAGTAATTCCCCTGGTTAAGTTGCTCCAGTCCTCTGTGTCCTCACCACCAGTTCTTTTTTTTTCTTTTTTTGGTCCCCTGAAATAAAGGAACAGCTCTTTGCTCCGCTCCACCCTGTCAACCCCTCTTCCTTTTTCATTGTCTGTCTGCTTAGTGTACAGATGTCAAGGGGATGGAACACCTCTCAGCCCTTCCCTTTAGCCATGCCAGTGCCTTCAGAAAGCCAGATTCCAGTTTCAAAATCCAGGCGCACACCAGAAAGTTGAGAGAACTATCGGTAAATTAAACTGCTTTCATTATTCAAACTCTTGGTATTAGCTTTAAGTCCACTCCCACTTAAGTGCTAACATAACTAGATTTTATCTCAATTGCTTTTTTTTTTTCTACCTACAATGAACAAAATAAACAGCCTTGGAGTTCAGCCTCTACATGTGAACCCTTGGAAGTAGAAGCCAAGGAATTCTCCATGGAGAGGAATCAAAACTAAAGCTGCTCCTCTCTTCTGATTTTAAAGGCTAAAGCTGTGCTAACACTAGGAATTTACCAAAGCAGGTACTAGGTACACCTCTGAGCACCAAACAAATTTATTGCATTGACTTAGTGATGCAAGGAATCAGAAGCAATGATTACTGCAATTGTCATTTTTCTTCAACTGACACAAGAAGGAGCTACTATATTTAGGATCAATGTACATTGTAGGTAAGATAAGATAAAATTTCATAAGGATAAAATATAAGTGAAAATAATTTATCAGCCTTAGAAATTTAGGCAAATTTTAAAAGAAATTTTAAAATTGGTTTTATATTATTTCATGTTCAAATCTCTCAAGGATGGTGGTTATTTTCACTTTAATAGAAAATATGCATAAAGCTCATGTTGAGGATTTATTCATTCATTAAATACTGGCTTTGTACCAACAGCACACGAAGGAAAAGAGGGACACTATAGAAGGACATCCCTTTCAGAGTTTATAATCCAGTTAGCCAAATACACACTTAAAATTGCTACAGAAAATGTTAAAAGCAACATAATAAACAAGTGTAGCAAAGTTTGGGAATTATTGTCTGTTGTACTGAGTTCAAATCATGATTATATCTCAAATTCCTGAATAGCTCAGATTATGGATGTGAGGCACCAGAGCCCAACAACTTAATTGGTTTTTTGTTTGTTTGTTTTGTTTGTCTGTCGTGAGGCCTGAACTCTAGCCCTGGGCACTGTCCCTGAGCTCTTCAGCTCAAGGCTAGCACTCTACTACTTGAATGTCAGCCCCACTTCTGGCTCTTTTTTTTCTGCCTATATGGTGCTGAGGGAATCGAACCCAGGGCCTCATGCATGCAAGGCAAACGCTCTACCACTGAGCCACCTTCCCAGCCCCGGTTTTTTGTTGTTTTTTTTTTTTTTTTAAGACTTTTAAATGTAAGTTACCAGATAAAACCCATTATATTTGAAGTTCATAAACAACAACTTTTAAGATAAATGGTTCATGCTTCAAAAGTATTTGTAATTAATCCAAAATTCAAATTTAACAGGGCATCCTGTATTATTATTTCCCAAAATTTAAACATTAACTTTGAGTCATATGGGACACAAAAAGGATCCTAGCAGGCTGGAGCTGGCTAGATAAACTTTCTTAACTTTTAAACCAACTGCTAAGGAACTCTGAGGAAACAGAAAACATTCCACATATGGAAATTGTGTCTGTGCCACTGAAATGAAGATAAGCAAGTAATTCCTGGTTAGAACAGCAGCTAGGCTAGCTTAGCTCAAGAATTTTCAACACTATCAGTCTGAGTGACCATTGTTCCTATTTTTTTGTTGTTGTTTTCTTTATGAGTGATCACACTTAACTAGATTTTTTTCTTTTGAGATTGCTTAAAGGATAATATTCCTATTCATCATAAGGATCTTACTTTTTAGTATTTTCTCTATATAAGCCACAACCACAAATTTCAATGATTTGGCCACAAGATTTAAATTATATGGGTAAGCCAGGCAATGCTGGCTCACACCTGTAATCCTGGCTACTTAGGAAGCTGATATCTGAGGATCATGGTTTGAAGTCAGCCCATGCGGAAAAGCCTGTGAGACTCTTATCTCTAACAAATTACCCAGAAAAGACCAGAAATGGTTCTGTGGTTCAAGTGGTAGAGCACTAGCCTTGAGCACAAAGAGACACAGAGACAGTGCCCAGAACCTGAGTTCAAGCCCGCAATTAGATATGCATTTTAAAGGTCAAAAATGTCTCACATACACACAGTATCAATGACTTTCAACAGTAGAATCCTGACATTCAAAGAATGTGTGTTCATTCTATGCATGCAGACTTAGTAACTATTTAGTGAAGCAGCAGATGAGCCACTGCCAGCACTCCCTATAACTGGTAAAATAGCTTAAGTAAGAATCAAGAGACTGATGAGATTTAACTCACAGGTCTCACAAATGCTGAGTATTCTACCACTAAACAGAACTCACAGACTCGAGTATTTTTCAACCTGGAAATAACTTTGTACTGTAGATATTATTAAAGAGGTCAATTGAAGGTTAGGCAGCCAGAGCAAAGATTCACCTCCACTATTTTTAACCACAATCCTATTAATGGGCTTTCTGGAGACTACCTAATAGTGCCCAGTTATGTGCCTAGATGTGCAAAAAAATGAGAACAGAAGGACATCTGTCTTCTGGGTTTTAAATGTTTGAAAACTTTAAAGTCTCTAAAACATATAACAAAAATAATTAGTAAAATAACAGACTTTCCAAGGCATGCCAGGAAGATATATCACTGTTTCTATTCATAGTGAAAAGCTAATTTAGACCAACATATGACCAAGAAGAGTATTACTGAGCCTTTCAAGGAATGAGAAAGGGGACATAATACTTGTAGACAGGCAAAAAGACTTAAGATCCTTAAGGGAATATGAATTTGAAAAGGAAAATTGTGAACAATGGAGAACAATCTGCTTCTTAGATTCCCTTATGCACGAGGTTTGGTCAGTTTCCAGTAGTAATCAGAAGATTCTGGCAATGGGCCCAGCTGGCCTGTTAGAAGATCATTTGGAAGGAAAGGATGTGTCCACTGCACATCTGTACTGCTAACACCAGCCCTGGAGTGTTTGTTCATTTCTATGGTACCTGTGAAACCACCAGATAAAGCTAGGGAGGATGGCACCAACTGCAAATCATTCATGACTTGGAAGGAATTAAAGGGCCTGCCAGAGATATCAAAGGAGACTGCAGACACAATGAATCAGGCTAAGAATGACTTATTACCAACTTTTAAAACATTGGCCTAGAGTTCATCCCTAGTCTAATTAAGGCAAATGTTATCTTTTTCTCCTGAATGTAGCTCAGGAAAGCTATCTTTATCATTCTTCTTGTATCTGACAATCCAGACACTAAGCCTCTGACTTGAATATATAGCTGTGAGGTTGAAAACTATTATCTCCCCTACACATTCTGCTGTGGGAGGAAATCGAATTTTATGCCACAAGAGATTAGACTAATTTCTCCACTCCCTCCTAAGAAACAAAGATAAACATTTACAAGGATTTCTTAGACATAAGACATAAATAAAGTGTGATTTATTTTTTAACATCTTACTAGGCACACAGGGAAAGTGGGCAAAGGTGGATTTGAATGATAAACAACCAGATTGATTTACCATACATGTACTGACTCTAAACCCTTTCACATGGTATTAAGGGATAAAGAAATTAAAAGGAAATTCTAGCTGTTTCCTCTCCTGCCACAGTCATGGATCCCTGTGTTGAGATGAAGTTCACAAGATGGAAACAGCCTAGACTGCCAAGTTCCAAGACAGACAAGCACACCAGCAAGTCAAACACATTGATCAAAATTTGGTCAAACTTCATGAGAGCAAAATATGAACTTCATTTTGCAAAGTAACTGAGAATTAGAGATTCATTTATCACAAAATGGCTGATCTTCTTTAACCAAACAGGAATCTCATTCATTCTGACATCTATCCAATTTACCAGCAGAGATATGGAAGACAGAAACATTTAGTGAGTTGCCTGAACTTTAGTCATTGCTGAAATGGGATATCTTTTTTTTTTTTTGGTCAGTCATGGGGCTTGAACTTCGGGCCTGGGTGCTGTCCCTCAGCTCTTGAGCTCAAGGTGAGCACTCTACCACTTGAGCCACAGCACACTTCTGGGTTTTTTTTAGTGGTTTATTGGAGATAAGAGTCTCACTGATTTTCCTGCCTGGGCTGGCTTTGAACCGTGATCCTCAAATCTCAGCCTCCTTAGTAGCTAGGATTACAGGCATGAGCCACCGATGCCCCGGCAGGATATCTTGTCTTTGGGTAAGAGTTGTGTTCAAAACACAAAGACTTCTCAAAAGCACATTGAGATCCTCAATTTATTTATTGAGACACAGTAAGGATTTTTTTTTGTGGGGGATGTGGGGAATGGGTCATGGGGCTTGAACTCAGGGCCTGGGCACTGTCCTTGAGCTCTTTTTGTTCAAGGCTAGCACTCTACCACTTTGAGCCAAATCTCCAATTCTGGATTTTTGGTAGTTAATTGGTGATAAGAGTCTCATGGTGGGATGGGAATGTGGCCTAGTGGTAGAGTGCTTGCCTAGCATGCATGAAACCCTGGGTTCGATTCCTCAGAAAAAGCCAAAAGTGTTCAAGCCCTGAGTTCAAGCCCCTGAGTTCAAGACTGGAAAAAAAAAAAAAGTCTCATGAACTTTCCTGCCCCAGCTGGTTTTTGAACCATGATCCTCAGATCTCAGCCTCCTGAGTAGTTAGGATAACAGGTGTTAGCCACCAGTGTCCAGCTTCAATGAAGATTTTTTTAAGAGATAAATTAGGACTCACCATCCCAGGATAAAAAATATCAGACTGCATTTCAATAATCAAATAGTTTTCTAATTTTATTGTTAAGGTAATGTACAGAGGGGTTACAGTTACATACATAGGTAGTGAGAACATTACTTGTTGAACCTGTTACCACCTCCCTCATTTTTCTCCCCACTTTCCTTTCCCTCCAAATCCCCCCCAAGTTGTACAATTCATTTCCAACATATTATCTGTTGCATTGGTTCACCCTTTGTAAGAAACTTTAATGAGTTAAAATTAAAAGGCAATATTGATAATTATTAAAAAAGAAATTTCCATTAAGAAATAGATATTATATATACATACATAGTATATACGAATGAGTCACCATGTCAAATGCATTCACACTATATCATAGACAAAAGTTGGAAAATTACTAAACTGCACAATGAGTCAATGAAGTAGGTTCATTG